TGTGTGTGTGTGTGTGTGTGTGTGTGTGTGTGTGTGTGTGTGAAGCTCTTTCAGGTTTCTTACGATTCCATCGGGATTTCCCTTCACATGTAGAATGGCCAACAGAGAAAGAGAAGGTGAAGAAAGCCGCGGATCACTGTCGTCAGATCTTAAATTATGTCAACCAGGCTGTCAAGGAGGCAGAAAACAAGCAGGTAAGATGGGCAAGGCCTGGAGATCCAGTCTGCTGTTGCGAGGAGATTTCCTTTAGTATTGTGTGAACCCTGCCGTGATCACTGACTCGGTCACTGGGTTACTGATGGGCAAGGCATTTGTTAACCGCTTATATGGGGAGAAGTTTCCCATTCCTGGACTTTGACCCATAGCGCTTCCTGATCAGGGTGCTATCAAGAATCACGCAAATTGTGATTCAGCAAACATAAAAATTCAGACCTGTTCCCTTTTCCCTAGAGGGCTATGACCTAATAAGTTCAAAGCCCAGCATACCATACATTCGACTTGGAAATGCTATTTTTCAGAGCTCATGGAAAGGTAGGCATTTCAATGCTTATGAGTTTTACTTAAAAGAAATCGTGAGCAAATATTGAATTCTTGTTAATGCTGTGCATACTGAATTGTGTAAAGGTGAGATGTATTTGTATCTGCAGTGTATTTTGAAATGCATAAAAATAAGATCTATTGATGAATAGAGAGGAGTGAAAATAGATGGATGGACCCTTGATTAAGTAAGTATCATAATGTGCTAATTGCAGGATGCTGCGGGTGGTGAGCATCTTGGTATTCACTGTACGTATTTGTGCTCTTCTGTGTGCTCGGGAACTCTTGTTGTTGGGGCAAAATGCACCTTCTCCTTCATCCAGCGGTTCTTCTAGGAATTGATCAGGCAGAGATCTTGATACACTTGAGCAAAGGCTTGTGTAAGACCATGTCATGTAGCATTGGGTAGCAGAATATTAGAAGTAACCAATAAAGTCTAGCTCATTCACAGAGTTGAATATCATACAGTCATTAAAAAGAATGGGACAGTTACGATCATTCCATTATAAATAATCTCTATGGTACATTGATAGGTGTTGCACGCAGAAGAATCTGAATCTGAATGTATTGTACCACCTTTGTTGTTAAGGATGTATGATGTATGTAAACACGGGCACAGAGACAAGCATACTTTGAAATTCACAGGTAGTCTATCAGCCTCCTTGCGGATAACTCCAGAAGTGTATATATTAGAGATGAATATTCACAGATAACTACGGGCGGGGGGTGGGGGTGGGGTTGTTAGGGGTGGGGACAAGAGGGTAGCACTGGAAAAAGACTTAGGCTGTGCCTTATTTTACCTTCTAAATTTTGGACCGTGTTTGTGATTTACATAGTTGGAGGGCATTAAAATGTTTGTAAAAGAGGTTGAGAAAGAAGATGATGAAAACCAGGAGTGTACTATTCCTGAAGTATGCACAGAGAGTGTTGTCATTGAGAATGTACGCAGCAAGCCATTCACCAACTCAGGGGAGGGTTTTAAGGAGAAACTGAGCTGTCAGCCCTGTGTGAGGTTGCCAAGAGCTCCGTAAAGCGCAGAGTAAAAACGTCCATGTTGATCTGGACTGAGGAGGTCATTGATGATCAAAGTAGCACCCTCCTTGACTTTAACTTGTCTAACTTTCAGCGCTTAGAAGATTATCAGCGTCGCCTTGATACTTCTAATCTGAAGCTTTCGGAGTACCCAAATGTTGAAGAGCTCAGGGTAAGAGACAGGCTAATTGTAATCTTTCTAAACATAAACTTCACTAAAACCTTGGCAGATAATTAAGGCATCTTAGTGAGAACACATGCCACCTGGAGCTTTTGTAGACCATCTTTAGGGTTACTTTAGTCTTTCGTCAGGGAAATACCCTGTGTGAAGTTGATGTGGGTGGCAGGAGACTGAGGCTCACAAGTGATTAAGTTCCATTTCATTGTGCTCCATAGTTTGAGTAAGAGGAGCTCTGTTTTCTGTGGGAACTTTCTGGATAATGAATAAAGCGAGATAACTTATTTTTCCATGAACCACTTCCAGAACAGTGAAGCTCAAGCAATTACAGGAATTATAGGAGAAACATGTACTAATTGCCATGTCTGGTATATAGAATTGTGCATTAAATAACTTTGTAGAATTTGAGATCTTTCCCTTGCTATTTCGCCATGGTCTTGGCGCGTTTATTTGGTGACTGTTTAAAATAGGCGTTCATGTTATACAGCTTCTTGGGGTGTATAGACGCCCATGTCATAGCGAACAGCTTCTCAGAGGGTGCTGGTGGTCTTATTCTTCTCCCTTTAGCTCCCAAAGAAGGGGATTTTTCTAGGGTTGCTGGTGCTCAAAGATGATTCTCTTAGGAATACGTTACTAATATCAGAGCAAGCCTGAGTATGACCTGGACTTTCATGATGAATGCTGTTTCTTAGAACTTCTTTGTGCCTAGCGTCTTGGGATGCAGAGGTCTCTCACAGACCCGCATGTGTGTCACCCTCACCCCCCGAGTCAGAGAGAGGCTAAGGAATGACTTGAGGCTCTAGGGGCTGGGTGTCTGGGGCTTCATTTTCATGTGGGAGATGGGAGCAGCTGGGAGATGCTTTCCTACTAGAAAATACCCACAGATCGCTCTCACATGGTCTCTATTCTGTTTTCAACATTGACAACGACAATGGTGTGCATGTAAGTGGTAGTCTCTTATATGAACAATTTCTTTAAAGGAAAGATTGAAATAACATCGGATGTATCATCTCACAGAATACTTGGGAATAGTTTGCATGTGATTCTCTTATTTTCACAGAATTTGGATTTAACCAAGCGGAAGATGATTCATGAGGGACCGTTGGTTTGGAAGGTGAATAGAGATAAGACAATTGGTAGGTCTCATGTAATCTGTCCATTTGGGGAAGAGGAGGAGGGAAGTATAAGGAGGGAGAGAGACTCTCGGGAACTCCCAGTTGTAGAGTTAGCAGCGCTGCCTGGCATTAGTTGTGTACTTGAGACCCCTGGGGTCTGGCTTGTGCCAAACACTCGACCGACAGCTTTACGACCCAGTCCACTTGCCCTCGTCCTCTGGAAGCTTGCTTAGATCAACACATCTCAAGCTACCCGTGAGCAGTGCTTTTTGCTTGGTTTGGGGTTGAAATTCTCAGATCTGACACAGACCGATGCTGTTGTGAACGCCAGTAATAACCAATGACTACTAAATGAAATAAAGGCATATACTCATCAGTTTTCCTTCTGAGGCATGAAATTTCTGTCAAATGGTTACAGCACTAAGAAAACACGTTTTAGTTTGTGGGCTTACACCTTTCCTGCTTTTGACCTAGACCTCTACACACTGCTGCTGGAAGACATCCTGGTCCTGTTACAGAAGCAGGACGACAGGCTGGTGCTCAGGTGTCACAGTAAGATTCTGGCAGCGACAGCTGATAGCAAGCACACGTTTAGCCCTGTCATTAAGCTGAACACGGTGCTGGTTAGACAAGTGGCAACAGGCAAGTATGCCCACCGAAAAAGGCGCATCTCCAGCTTCATGTCATGTCGCAGAGAGAGTGTTGCTTAAGTTTGACCTGCGTCATATTCTTAGGCAAATTAAATGCATTTTATGTATGTGTAGAAAGCGAACTTTTTAGGATGTGTTTACACCCGAAATAAGTTAGGATGCCTAGATCCTCTGAGCGATTTTCTGTTATTTAAAACATCTTATGTAGTGTACTTTACGCAGGTTACTTTGGTGTACACTCTGGGTTCAAATCATTAATCGATGCTAAGAAAGATAGTGGATCAGGGGTAATTGAATGGCCATGTCTAGTATGTGGGTTTTTCATTCAGTAATAAGTGTATATATCAAGTACTTGCAGTAGACAGTTGTGAGACAGGTGGTGATTTCAAACAGACATCTGTGTGTAAGTGGCAGTAATCACCATGAAAATGCGCGCCGCTCCCTTTAGAGCAGTGGTTTTGGTGAGTTGGGGAAACACAGCAAAACCCGTGGCGGTGAGTTGAGTGTGGACTTTGTGCAATCAGTTGGAGTTGGAAAGTTAGGCTGTAACTGTCCTACAAAGGAAGCCCCGGGGGAGCTGAGTTTTGTGATGGCTGGATGCATTCATAACCTCTCTTATCCGACAGCCATTAATAACCGCCCACCAGAAGGGCGGTCCAAAACAAGTGCGAAAGCCCAATAGCATGTGGTACAGTAATTTGTTTCTGATAAATTGTTAACTTTGTAACCCTTGTTTTACTAAAGCAGCATATGCACAGTATACTCTGTAGTAAGTCACATAGATTTCAGTAGTCCAGCATGAATTTTTACAAAGTGAACACATGTAACTTTTATGTATATTAAGATATAAAATGTTACCAAGACCCTTAAATCCCCTGTTGGTCTGAGTGTTACACTAAGCCTTGTCTCTCTCCCTCGTCTCCCAGATAACAAAGCTTTATTCGTCATTTCCATGTCAGACAATGGAGCCCAAATTTATGAACTGGTGGCTCAAACGGTGTCAGAAAAGACTGTGTAAGTATTTGATTCAGCTCCCTTACTCGACTCCATGGAAGCCAGGTCCTTCCAGAGGTGCTCTTTTACGGATTTGTATCTCTTTAGATTGATAGCATTTGTTTTGATTCTGCTTTATCAAAAGCATCTTTTCTAAAGGAAAAATTCTCAGAAGTAACAAGTCAAGTTTTTTAAGGGTTAGGCTGTCCAAACTTATGTTTGGCTATTATCTTTAAGGTAGAGTTTTGCGTTTCAGTTCAGTTTTTCTTTCTGCTTCCTGAGTATATTTAAGGATGCTTCTGTCTCCTTTTCCTTCCATGTCCTGGGTCCTTGGTGCCCGTCCGGCAGCTGGCAGGACCTCATCTGTCGGATGGCTGCATCGGTGAAAGAGCAACCCACGAAGCCCATTCCGTTACCACAGCCTCCACCTGACGAGTGAGTGCCTCCGCACGTGGCAGTGGAGCTGGCCTTAGGGTAGAATTTTGGCTAGAAAAGGACTAGGTGATTTGCCATGTTGTTGTGATGCTGTTTAAATACCTCATGAAGTTGAGAGATTGCTTTCTCTGTCTCACAGAGGAGACAATGAGGAAGAAGAACCTTCAAAATTAAAAGTGGGACATCATGGCATTTCAGTCACAGGCCTGCAAAGTCCAGGTAAAGGCTTCCATGACATTGACCGGAGAAAATGGAGACTATCTTTTACAAGCCCAGAAACCCCAGCACTCTGAGCCAGTGTCCCTGTCTCTCTGCCTGAGTGCTGTGTGTTCGGACTGAACAGACAGGCTGTCACTCATGTGGTTATTCCCCCCTCCCAGCATTTCCTGAGTGCTTCTTGTAAAGAGTTAAAGGTCTTGTTTCTACTCTGCCTTTCCTTCCATTGAGCAGACCGAGACCTGGGGCTAGAGTCTCCCTTGATGCCATCCCAGCAGCAGTCTCCCTCGCTGGGCACCTCTGGGAAGGCGGAGGTCGACGACCTCTTCGTGGCTGAGAGACAGTTTGCCAAGGAGCGGCACGCAGACGTCACCGTCAAGGAAGTGGGAGGAAACTGTCAAGTTGCAGTCCCAGATCCCCATCTTCCTGTCTCTGAAGAACGGTGGGCAGCGGATGCACTGAGGAATTGTAAGTTTTATTCACAACTCTGGGGTACTTTCAATTAAAGTACTAAATTATATATTTTCCAGGGAGAAGCCAAAGAAATATAATGAAGTGTAAACTTTAGTTTTTCCCTTTAAGAAGTTTAATTTAGTTGGGAAGGTGATAGAAACATCACAGCCTTCCCCTCCTTTAAAAAAAGTAAACACTCAAGATCATGCAGATCTCTCAAAGTGCCCTTGTGTCAGACAAGGGCGATGTGGTTACTGCTTTGCAGAGTGGGGGCGATTCCAACAGGTTTGTAGAGAACAGACATTTAGCCACGAGTAATGGTTGGGCCAAACGCCCAGAGGCAGGACACGGGTTTTCAGAGAGCAGCAAGTAGACCGTTGGGGCCGAGGTAGAATGTCTAGACTAGGCACTCGTGTGAGGTAGGATCTGAAGGACGGAAGGTGTGCTGAGAGCCCAGCTATCCCAAACCTGGGATAACAAGTTGAAAAAGGGGATCCTCTGTACTTTAGCGATTACACGTCACAGTGTTTGCAGGACCGTTTCAAATGACGTGCACCCCAGGCTTTTTGTGGAGATTATAGAAATCTGCACCGTGCTGGCCCCTTGCCACTCCTTTAGTTGGCCACTCCCTTCCCAGCTCGGTGAGGATCACTAATGGAGCATGCCTCTGCTAGAAAGGGGAGGACATCACCTTTTCCAGGAGGTTGCAGACCATTCCTCTAATGTTGAGAATCACTCAAAGCTTTTAAGCGAATGCGAAAAAAGATGAACTTGAGAGAGCCGCACAGGATTCGAATGGCAAGAAGCTGGGAGGGCATAGCTGCTAAGTGAGCTGTTGTAGTTCTGAGCTTGAGGCTCGTGGGCTCTGCACTAGAGTGGTATCGGGAGGAGTTAAAATAAACAACCACCAGTAGTCAACACAGTTGACTTTTTTGGATGTTAGGGCAAAGGGAGGGGAATGTGTCGAGACACTGTTAGTATTCTGAGACAGAGAGGGCGAAGCCACACGCCCCCCTCCTCATTTGCACTTGGGACACATTTTCTTTTTGTCTGCCAGAGATTATGGGTTCATATTTAAGCTGTGTTGAGATTGAGATCATGAATAATGAGGCATTTACGAGGACACATGAGCAAGAAGTTAGGGTTTTAGGATTGGAACTCTGGAGAGAGGTGGAAAGAGATTGGGTTTGAGTGCCTTGAGACTTCTGAGAGAATGAATGGTGAATGGAAAGCCAGAGGGCTAAGGGCTCAGCCTACATGGACGCTGTTTCCCTAAAGTATGCAGGAGATAGGAATCGGGTTTCCGTTTGTTTCTACTCATCATGCCAACAAAGCGAAACTGGAGCAGACCCTAACCTGTCTGATGTGGGTGAACCAGAATGACCACTGCAGGAGGAGGAAGTCTGGACCGAGGCCTAGCTAGAAGCCCCATCTCCTTCATGGAAAACAAGAGCCGAGTGTGTGTTGCATAGTAACTAGGTCAGCAGGGTCGGTAACCACGGTGGCCGACTCTTAACTCAAGCCAAGTCAGTGACATCTGACCCTGAGTCAATTCTGACTCACGATGACCCGATAGGACAGGATAGAACTACCCCCATGTGTTTCTGAGACTGTCACTGTTTATGGGAGTAATTCCCTTTCTCCCGTAGAGCATCAGGTGGCTTCAAACTACTGACCTCACAGTTAGCGGCCTAATGAGCACCACTACTCGGTGCTCCCTTGGTAATGAAAAGCTTTTGCACTGTGATCCAGGTTAAAGCGGTGTCTGCTTTGCACCCCCAGGGGTCGGTCTCACCCACGTTGGGAAACTGGTAGCTGGTGGCCTGCAGCACTGAGTCGAGAGTCTGTGCCACTTGCCACAGCCTGGCAGTAGTCCAGCCCCCAAATCCAGTTCCCGGAGGTCTTAATATGCCCCTAGTCTCCCATGCCAGGACTCTGACCCCTAACGAGCCCATTCGGGGCAAAATGCTTCCCACTTTACCCCAATTTTTAAAATTCCGGTCAGTTCTGGTTTTATTTCATTAGCCATGACTGAACCAATTCCAACCTATTGGAAAGCCTGAGCGAAATTAAGCCTGTGTTGCAAACAGAAAATTGGTCAAGTTGCTCACAGCCTAATTTACTCCAAATTCCCCTAAATTGACACTGTCAATGTTTTCTGGTGGTTTGACTAATGTCATCCAAGTAATCTTATTATTCTGTGAGTGACCTCATCACATCACTTTGTCCATTTAGAATTAAATTGGTTCTTAATTTCAACAACCTCAGGAAGTTGTACCACTCTGGTAAGATACAGTCTGGTGAGATACATTTACAACACTGGTGAATATTTTCTTACTCTTTTCAATGATACGTGCTACCTACCCATCCCTGGAGCCCCACTTTACTGTGCACTCGCACCTTGATCCCTCCTGCTGCTGTGGAGGCTACTGTGGCAGTCATCTGTGTGGTCTCTGTGTCTAAGGTCGTGAGGAGCAATGAGTGCGGATGGGTGGGGTGTCCACTTCTGGGAAAAGCAGTTTGTGTTTAAATATTTCTACCTCACGCAGCTGTCCAGCCTCTTTAAGAGTACTTTAGTGTATTTCTATTATATGGAACAAACAATAGAGGCTATTTAGGAGTTACAAGACTCTATGTATGACCCAACAGCACCTGACCATCCCACCACCAATAAGATTATGCTGAGATCCTGTCCATTCTATTTTAAGGTTAAGTCTTCTCCAGAAAATGGGGCTTAATTTCACTTCTGAAAGCAAAGCAAGGTTGTATAAAATGAATATTTGCTCGTATGCTACTAGTAAAGATCATTCTTAAGGTTAAATCGGTCATTTGGCCAATTGAGTGTTGGCGGTGTAAGGTGCCAAGTTGGGTTGCGCAACTGCAAGGTCAGTGTTGCCAAACTGCCAGCTGCCCTGCCACCAGCTGCCCTGCCGGAGAGAGACCGGGCCTCCTACTCTGGTCAAGAGTCCCAGTCCCGGAAGCTGAGTTGTCGGGTGGCTGTGCGCTAGCAGGGGCGCTGAGGTCGGGTGGTGGCCCAGCAGTGAAGGTGCTTTGTTGCCTCTCACCCCTGCAGTGGGTCTGCTGAAGCGGCTGCTGGAGCAGCAGCTGGGCTGGCCTGAGCGGCGCACTCAGGAAGACTGGCAGCAGTCCCCACGCTCAAGGACGGCCTCGCGGGGGGTGCAGGCAGACGGCGGAGGCCAGAACTCCGAGAGCAGGAAGGCCTGCCTTCCCTTCAGAACTGGAACAGGTGACCTTCCCGTTGGCGGCAGTCCAAGGACTTCAGGTGACTCTTCTGCTCCACGGGATTCGGCGATACTGGCATCCCACGAGAACCAGGCAGGTATCGTCGTCTTCATGGACCAAGTGGTTATGACCCCGGAGATGCCTCCCAGCGAGCCTGAGGGGGCGCTGGACGAAGGCGGAGAGCACTTTTTTGATGCCCGTGAAGCACACAGTGATGATAACCCATCAGACGGCGGTGGCGCCGTGAAAAAGGAGGAGCAGGGTGTCGATCCACGCATCTCAGGCAAGTGACTTCCCCACCGACCTTGATGCTGGTGCTCCTCAGCGTCTTGTGTGCTTAACTAGATGTTGGTTTGGTGTCTGAGCATTCGGCATGGGTGTACACGCGCACATGCTGTGGTAGCATAGTAGTTAATGCTCTGGGCTGTGATCCAAAAGGTCAGCAGTTTGAAACCACCAGCCAGTCTGATGGAGGAAGACCTGTAAACAGTCACAGCCTTGGAGACTCCCAGGGGCAGTTCCACCTGAATCTGTAGAGTTCCTGTGAGTTGGCATCAACTCGACGGCATTGTTTTTGTTGGGGGGGGTGGGGGGGGGGGGAATGATCCTTCAAACAACAGCTAATGAGTCTATTCTATCCAGACCCCATTGTAGATGCTGGAAGATACAACAGTGAGTAAAATAGACCGGCCCCTATTCTTTTGAAGCAGAAGTACTATTAGGGCAAAGATTAATGGTAAATAAGTAACAAAGAAATAGAGGTTCACATAGTGAGAAAACAGTGGGTTAAGTGTTGGGCTGCCAACTGCAAGGTCAGCAGTTTGAAACCACCATCTGCTCCTCAGAAGAGAGATGAGGCTTTCTTTTCCTGTAAAGAGTCATACTCCTGAAACCCCGACAGGGCCGTTTCACCCTGTCCTACAGGGCGGCTAGGAGCCAACATGGACTGGGAGGCAGTGAGTGTGAGGGAGGGATCTCAAGAAGAACAGTGAGTCAGATGAGGGACACAGGGGGCGCTTTAGACAGAGCGACCAGGGAGAGCCTCTGATGAGGTGACCCTAGAGCAGAGGCCTTGGCGGGAGTGCGGAAATGAGCGCTGCGGGTCCTCGGTGGAGAAGAGGGCATGCAGAGGCTGTGTGGTGCGCACAGGCTCCCGGTGGTCGGGTTAGCAGGGCTGCCCTGCATTGGTTTATGTAAGGGCATTGTAGTTCTCAGCTCTTAACTTTGGCAGCAGAAACCATTGTCGACTGACGAGTCTCTCTGTACATGTATAAGAAGCCCTGGTGGTTCACCACAGAGTCAGCAGTTCAAGCCGACTGGCTGCTCTGAGGGAGAAGGATGAGGCTGTCTGCTTCTGTAAAGATTGACAGTCTCAGAAACCTTTCCTAGCAGTTCTCTGTCCTGTAGGGTGGCTGTGAGTCGGCATCGCCTCAGGGGCAGTGGTTATCTATAGTAATACTAATGATTCAGGAATTGCTTGAAATTCTGCTTGGCTTAGTTTTAATGGCAAAACTTATTTCAAGTTGAACTTGGGGATGAAGGACTAGTGGCTGTTGCCCTGTTCAGCTGTCAGCAGATCACCACCACCCTCTCCTTGGTTTGCCGAGGCCAGCTCTACTCTCACCACGCTGTGCTGTGCCTCTGACAGGAAACTACTTCATCCTTGACGGCTATGAGACCGTGCAGGAGAGCTCCACGGACGAGGAGGCCGTCTCCTCGCTCAGCCCACAGCCTGCGGCCGGCGGCCCCTCTCCGGACTCCACCCACCAGCAGCAGCATTCGCCGCAGAGTGCTCATTCGGATGGGCCAAACTCCCCCTTCACCCCCGAACTCCTGGCCCAGCAGCGCTGGGGAGCCATGGAGGACAGCTGCTTGCAGACCCAGAGTCCCTCTTCCTGTGCAGAGCTGCCACACCAGGTCATGGAGTACATTCGTAAGATCGAGGCGGACCTGGAACACTTAAAGGTACCTCCTGTTTCAACCTCCTTGGACTTGCGTGTGCGAACCCCATCGTATAGCATGACAGAAATGCTGATGTTGGCAAACTTGCTCGGGGCCAGACCCGAACGCTGCTTTCATCACAGTCCACAGGCCCGAGCACGAGTGTTGTTCGCTGCTGCGGGCTTGAAGCACAGAGGGCTCCGGCCCTGAGCCGCAGCGCTCTCGGGAGCTGGTGCGTGGAAGCCCATCTCTGGCCACCTGGATAAACAGCGTGAGATTGGACCTTTTAGCTGGTTGTAAGTCCCCGGCTCAGGAGAAGCTGTAGCTCTATAAACTCCGTGTGGGTTTGCATGGGTGACGTCCAAGTTCAAGAACCTAAATAGATTTAGCGTCCTTGGCTGGTCTCCTTGAGAACAGAGCTGGGTGGGGTCTGTGTTCTGAGTCCAGGCCACTAGGTGCTAAGACCTGCCATAACCTAGTCGTTCTCTGAGTCACCAGGGGCTGTTGGTCTTGTGACAGACAGAAATCAACTTTGGTGACTCTCACTCTGTCAAAAGCAGGACATAATGGGGTTTTTGTCACGTAGTGATAGCGGCTGCAGATGGCCGCTTTTTTAACTTTGACGTGTGTGGTGTCTTCTGAGAAAATAACAATCTGAAAGTCCCTCATCAGTGACCGGAGCTGTGCAAACCCAGACGTGTTTTCCATTCTATTTCACGTTCATGCTGGAATAAGCACGAGCTGCACTCACTAGAGGCGCTCGGGACAGTGAGAGTCGGGGGCGCCTTGTTTCCTCCTCACTGTGCCCCAGAGCTCCCCCGGTGTCACAGGGTTACAGTGGAACCAATGCAGTCTCATTCCAAATCAATTTTCCCCATCAGAGGTAGCTGATCATGGAGTAATCCGCTCTCGGCGACCAACTTCTTACCCTAACCTTGCCTTTTTATGCAAAACATTACACAGAAATTTTAAAGTAATAAGTTCAGGGTTAAATAATATAATTTAAATAAGAAACATAATATTAAATGAGTTTTTAACAACTGCAGTATGGCCCCCAGCTTGAGATTGATGAGGATCTGCCTCTGTGGACTCGGATGTGAAGAGGGGCTATGGAGAGAGAGTCATGTTTGGAAGGGAGTCCCCTTCCATCAGATCAACTAGTAGCTGCTTTTCAGGAGTCTTTCCCTAGGACCTGGCTGGCTTTCTCTTAAGAAAGTAAAAATAAGAAATCTGTCTAATGTGGTCCGCTGTTGGCATTTCCTTAACTGTTTTCTGAAAGGGCTTACTAAATTATCGTCAACAATATCAATAACAATTAACCAGTTCCTTATCATGATGACTCTTTTCAAAAAACTCCTTAGGACCCATGTTTTTTTTATCTAAAAACAGTACAAAAAGCCACAAAAGCTAAGAAAATTATACCAAAACACTTGGAACACAACTGCCAAAAGTTTAAACAACTCGTACTAACAACGCCAACTAACGCCGAGTGACCAAAAACTATGAACTGCTTTTGTTTACAAAAATCATGTGCATTAAATTGGAGTAACGATGAAATATGCAGTTTTCCTCTAGTTCTTAAATGCTTCCTCCCCCCCACTACCATGATC